ACATAAGCTAAATAACGAGAGGATTTACCTTCTGAGAAAAAACACTCTGTACCCGAGGATTTGTAAGCAGAACATTTGTTTATTTTGACTAAGTAAGATAATATTAATAAGTAAAGATTGCTATACTGCTTTTGCTTGTTAGTTTTACGCTCCTTGGATTTAGTCGGTATGATTGCGATAATTAGATATTAAGTAAATAAAGAATAAAAGAACTAGGTAAGGACTTATAAGAAGGGAAGTGGGTTACTTATACTATAAGGAGCAAGGTCTTGAGGATAAGACCAACGGGAGGGGGATATTGTGTTACGACCTAATACTTATGGTTGTGATAATGGGCTAACTGACTAGGTGCGACCGGATTAACTATAATCCGAGTAGTTAATCAGGCCCCGCTTGTCTTACTCGTTCGACGAGCTTAGCGAGCTTATACTCTTTATGCTTGTCTTATGAGCTATACGAGCCCAGAACTAACTAGATATATAAGTTTACTTTATAATACTTATTAGAATAGTTTAGATAGCTAGTTGTAAATATAGAATAACGCTTGATTATACCTATAAAGTATTATTTACTAGTTGTGTGAACAAACCCCTTTTATCCTTGTTGATTGCCTGCTAGTCCAGCCTGGCCTATCCGCCAACATAAACCTAGCATAAGGTTTGTCCCTTGGGAATTCCTCTTATACTAACACTATAGGAGCTCAGCTTGTCACATGGGGAGTCCCCTGAACAACGTTACAGACTTGATTAAATGGCGGTTAGTTAAGATCCGATGTAAATAAATATCTTTAACGCCTTTCTAGGCAGTAGGAAACCTATCTTGTTTAATAGATTTTAGTCTAAAGTAACTTAGGACTTCCCCTAATATATTAGTAAGTTAGAGAGTTTATAATAAGAATCGTTAAAGCCGGCGGCGACAATCAGCTACTTAGGAAATAATAGATTAAAGGTTTTCTGTAATGAAACCCTGAAGTTAGGACCGTTAAAGGTAAGCTGATTAATTCCCGTTGTTTAAATAGAGCTAGGGTTAATATAATTAAGGATTTCTTTTAGTTGTAAAACCTCCTGGCGATTAGAGATATCCTAGGGCATTACTGTTATAATATAGACGAGACTGGGATACTAGAAGGCCGCGGCAGTAATAGGCTAGTGCTTGGGTACGCCACGAAGAAAGTGATTATGAAAAAATAACCTAGATTATGCTATTAGACTATAATTATTAAGTATATCTCGGTAACTGGCCAGATCCTTCTACCTTTGGTTATTTTTAAAGGTCTGACGGTTTAGTAGTAATAGTTTTCTAACGAAGTAAAATTCCTAGCTAACTAAACGTTCCAATCGTCTGCTAAAGGTTGGATTAGCGATAAGATTGTAATCTAGTGGCTGTAAGAGATTTTTATTCTATTAGTCTATAGCTATAAGCTATAGCTATAGCTATAAGAAAATAGAGCTTATAGCGGTTATTACAGTGGTCTTTACATCCCTATAGCTAGTCTATAGCACTAGCTATCACTAATATCCCCTATAACCCCCTATAACCTTTACAATCAGCTATACTTAATACTTGATCCTTCAACCTACCCTATAGCTTATAAGCTATTGCCTAATTAGGACTAGCTTATAGACCTTCTA